CTGAAGTCGTAGTGGCCTAAAGGATAAGACGTCCGGTGCATTCGAGTATAGCGATGCAACGGTGTTCGAATCCCGCAGGCGGGTACCAATTTTTCTAACAACTGTTAAGTTGAAAATTGTCGATTAACCAAATATCCTTTCAATCCTCGTTATTTTTATGAGCAATATAAAATTTAGATATAGAACATATAACACATATATTATGAATATTCGTATAAAAAACTAATTTGGTGTTTAACGGATACCAAACATAAATATACCGGGACATACGAGCGGTATGCATTCGTCCTTGGTCCTGAAACCTGAAATTGGTGGTTTCCGCTGCATCCGTGGTAGCGGAACCTCTCGCATCTGTTCCGCTCGTGATTGAAGTGCCATCTTGTCGTGTTTAACACTTGTCCCTCCGTGCAATTACCCTCGTCTTTGCTCTCGAAGCAGACGGTACCTGCCCAATTCATAACATTAGCGTGTAGGTACCTCCACCCTGCCTATTTCTGCCGTGAAGCAGTAATGCGTTTCGGTTTGAAGGGTGGGGCAGCCGTTGTAACTATACTTGAGACCTTAGAACTTATATCTCAAGGTGGGTGGCGCATTTACGTTGTAGATGTCTATGGGCTCCAGTAACCACTTAACACCAGGTGGGCTGTGAGCTCGTCCACCCATCTAAGCAATAATAAAATCATGCTTACGAGGCTTGGGGCAGCAAACATTTGGTCCAGAGTCGTGCGGGGCGAATCTGCAAGCGTGTGTGGATGGACAAGCCGCAGCGTTAGGTCCGCATATCAATGATCCTAAGCCTTCCGGCGCTCCAAGCGGCGTGGTGCTGTCCGGGCACCGCAGGGACGGCGCGCATCGAGCCAACGGCGGACACACTGCACCCTGTACACATACAGAAACACTTCAGACTCTTAAAAACTTACTGGTGGTAGGACCTCTTGTGAATCCGCACGGGTAGGTACCACCGCCCTGCCTATTTCTGCCGTGAAGCAGTAATGCGTTTCGGTTTGAAGGGTGGGGCAGCCGTTGTAACTATACTGAGACCTTAGAACTTATATCTCAAGGTGGGTGGCGCATTTACGTTGTAGATGTCTATGGGCTCCAGTAACCACTTAACACCAGGTGAGCTGTGAGCTCGTCCACACATCTAAGCAATAAAATCTAATATTATCTGAAAAACTCTATTCATCTTTTTTTACTAGTTTTATTGATTGGGGACAGGATCTTGACGTATGTAAATATGTCGTCATCTACGTTGAGACACAAGATGGAAGACCGAGTTGCAAAGGAATGACAGCTTAAAATCTCAACGCATGACCGATTCGAGGTGTAAACAGGCAAAACGCTGGTATAACTCAGTATGAGTTCACAACAACACCAGGAAGGTCCACGGAATAATAACAATCCTAGACAATTGAAAAAACGGGCCAATACAAATGAAGGGTTTGGGTCTGGTCCTAGCCTAGACTGACCTAACTGAATAAATACTGATTCCTAACTAGAACTTCATCCAGCTAAAAAACATTTTTTTTTTAAATATTTATTACAAAGAGTAATAACAGTAGGCAACTTACAAATATTCTCATAACTAGAATAACATTTATTTATACGTAGTTGTTTAAAACCCCTCCTCCTAAACCATATTTATTTATTCATAAGTTGAGAAAATATTGTCTTCAATTTCGGTGAACATCAAACGGGTCTCTGTATTTCTAATGAATCTATGATGTTAAATCTAATATCAATCGTACCTCGCAATCCAAAGGCACTAATTCGCAAGATTCATCAGGTTTGCACTTGGCTTCGGCGCAGGGGTCCCTACATTCACAAGTGGGACAGCCTCTGCGGTCCAGCTCTTGTCCATGAGCACAGGCGATAATGTCATTGCAATTCGTTTCCGGACATTCGATTGGAGAGGCACAAGTCGGTGTGGAGTTGCTAGTTCTTGTACCGGGGATCTGGCGTATACATGGAAATAGAATTAGAATAGACACGATCATTAGAAAAGGCATTTTTAGTTACGGACATGGTGACAACAGATTAATTTGGTAGGTACTACGATAGGTTGATTGGGCAGCTATTTAGTGTATGTGGGTTCAATTTTGATTTACCGGTACCAAAATTATTAGGGCTTTTGCAGCTTATTTCTGTAGGGGTAGCCGTTTTTTGGCAAATTAATTATGTGTTCTGATTTGGAAGGTAGGACCACTATTACGACACAGCTGAGACTCATGTTATAAGCCGGTAGCGTACATGTAGTGTTGTCTATTGTCTGAAATGACTTTCTAACACGAGGTCGCTGTGAACTCGCATATCCAAGTAACGGTTTAAAAAGAAACATCTAGAAGAATAAAACGTCTTGTACGTACCTCGTTTCCAGCAGTATCGACACACCAGCATGTCTTGTCAGATCTTCTGCACTGAACTTCTTGGTAAGCACCGTCTTCCGTACACTGCGGGACCCAGGCCCAAGCGGGAGGGTTTCCGCTCTCAGCGGCCGTATGAAGCGCTAGAGCTCTGAAAAACAGTCGTATTCGTTTAGAAGCCTTGACTATTTAATAATGGTATCGCTTTTTGTACTTATTGTATTATGTGTGGTATTAGTTAATTGTTTTTTTTTTGGCATAGACGGGTGTACAGGCTGTAGGTACATCTGGGGTAAGATGGTTACCGGAGTCCATAGACAATCATAACGTGAATTCCGCCACCCACCTTCAGATTTTAAATCCATGTCTCAGTTATATTATAGTGTTACTCAAGTTATAATTTTTGGGAGTAAAAACCAATGCTGTTACACGATATAATTTCTTCTTCTTGGAAGCCTTGTGTCGTGTGTGGTGGTTCTATTCTCGGCCATCCCATAATTAGTACATACCTTCTCTGTTGGCAAGCTGTCTGGTGGACGGGCTGCGTACAAGCAGTCCCACATCCGGTGGCGCAGCACCTCTCCCCCCCGGAGCACTCGGCGTCGCTCCGACACGACCACTCACACGCTCCGCTCTGAGGCACTAAGTATGGACACTGACCGGATTTCTTTGGCAAACCTAATTTAAAAAAAGAAGTTGAATGTAACAAAAATCAATTCTGTTTTCGAATTGAAACTTCTAATGCGACTTCCAACAAGGTTGTGTTAAACGTTTAACGCTGCCATACTAGAAAGAGACAGAGTGAAAGTGAATACATGGCACTCGAACGCATGCGCGTAGTATACCTGATTTATTTATTTATTTATTTATTTATTATTAGTACTTACAAATTAACAGTATAAACCAAAACATTTGTAAGGCATTAATAATTAGCTTAAGTAATTCCTAACAACAACAATAAATCGCTGCAAACCATCATGGAATATATCCATTTCCGGAGCATAGGCTAGCAAGCCATTGAGTAGCGAGACAGCACGATGCGTCGGGGAGTTAGCGGTGTGCTGCGTACGCGCGTACGTGGTACTAAGAAGCTGCCGCTGGCGACGCACCCCTCCACACATACATCCGCGCATGTAGCCATCAGGCACATATAACGACACTGATTCCAGTGCAGTGGAGTTATCAATTTTGTTATGCAATAGCTGATAATAATGCACCATAAGAATCATCTTCCGTCTCAGCTCAAGAGTATCTAATCCGACCATACCAGTCACATAAAGTGATGGATACAAGAACGGATAGTAGCCATACATTTTCTTGAATAGGAACCTGCAAAATTTTTTGTGTAGTTTTTCCAGCATTAGCTTTTGAACTGCTTCGCGAGGATCCCACACGAGTGCGTTATATTCAAGACTACTTCGCAAATAGGCATCGTACAGCATAAAAATCACACGATGGCCTACAAAGTCGTGCGTCTGACGAATTATGAAACCAAGCAGACCACTACCCCTTTTACAGATATGCTGTATGTGATCTTTAAACGTTAGCTTGGAATCAAAAATAAACCCCAAGTCACGTATAACTGCCACATGATTCAAAATGACTCCAGATATATGGTACGGGAACAACACGGGCGACCGTGACCGGCTTTATGCAACGACCTTGCATTTATTAGTATTAAAATGCAAGCGGTTACGCTCTCCCCAATCTGCAACCCGAGTAATATCGCGCTGCAAAGCATGGCGCTCAGCATCACACCCGACCCCAACGTACAGCTTAAGGTCATCAGCAAACATAAGACACCTGGTCCGCTCACTAAGAATAAAAGGAAGATCATTTATCATGATTAAAAACTGAGTCGGACCAAGGGTACTACCCTGACTGACCCCTGATCTTGTAAAATAAGTTTTAGATTTGAAGCCCGCCAACTCTACATGCTGAGACCTATCGGAGAGATAAGAAGAAAATAATTTGAGGAGTTTTGGGGTAAATCCGAATGAAGCAAATTTCATCAACAGTAGGTCATTATCGACACGGTCGAAGGCTTTTTCAAAGTCTAAGTACACAGCGTCGACTTGTTTTCCTGCATCCATTTCAGCAGCAACATAGTTTACAAAATTAATATGGTTAGTTGCCGTAGATCTACCAGCTCGAAAACCATGTTGACTGTCAGTCAATTGGTTCCGGATCTGCGCACTAACATGTTTATTCATAATGGACTCAAATATCTTTGCAAATACTGATAATACTGCGATGGGTCGATAGTTTCTCACATCTGTGCGGTCACCACCCTTGAAGACCGGAGTTACTCTAGTGTGCTTCCACGTAGATGGATATGTGGACATTTGGAGTGCGAGATTATAAATGTGTAGTAGTGGTACACTAAGCACATTCACTTATACAATCCTTAGCCAAAAAGGAAGGGATACGATCTGGACCTGATGCGGAGAACGGCTTAATGCGCTTCACAGCACAGCGCAGGTCCGAACTATCTACAGTCAATAAAGCTACTCGAGCACTGGAACAAAACTGTGATGTTATTGCTGCACTATGCTGGGCCTCAGTTGGATCAATTTGGGTTCATCGGCTAAGAAAACTGAACTGAAGTAAGTTGCAAATGCATCTGCCGCGTATTGCCCTTCCACAGGTTTTCCCAAGTAATCATAATATTTATTACAATTATGCCTACCTTGTCGCTTATCTTTAATAAACTTCCAAAAAATTTTTGGATTATGACCGATGTCTTTCTCTATGCTCAACAAATATTTTTTATACGCTGTCTCCATCAGATATTTTATTCTACTCCTATAATATTTAAACAATTCTAAATTTACTTCTTTTCCCTCAGCTTTGTACCTTTTGTGATTAAAATGTTTGAGTTTTAAGTTCCGTATTATTTCGGAAGTAAACCAAGTTGGGTATTTATTTGATTGATTTGTTAATATAGAACGTTTGGTCGGCACACAGTAATCGATTATAGAGTATAATTTGTTGTAAAATTTATTAAGAGCGATGTTGACATCCGTCTCAGAAACAATGTCACTCCAATCAATCTCAGCAAAAGACGCATATAATACATTAATATCAGCTTTACGAAAATTCCATTGGGAGCCGCGATCCAGTACGTAGGCTGAATCGGAAGATAGAGGGACGGGGGGCATGCCAGCGCCGACACAGCTCCGCCTGCTAGGCCATCGCACGGATACTTCAAGCGTCGGATGATAGCAGTCCTCCGGCACGAGAGCACCGATTCCCCGTACAACACAGACACGCTCTCTGTGTAGTCCACTCAAAACGAAATCCAAGATACCTCCATGATGATTTGGAACAGTATTAAATTAATACATAAATATAAGACAATTTAAAGTATAAAAAGCTTATTCGAAGGGGTCTCCATTAGCTACAATACAGTCCTTTAAACGTTGAGGCCAGTTATCAATAGAAGCACGCACTCTTTCCATGGGAAAATTTTTTCACTGCCAACCGTACGGATTGTTTTAGGGACTCCAAATTATCATGGAGTTTAGAGCAAGCCGTAAATCTGACCATAAATCATAATCCAGCGAATTAAGATCGGGACTAGACGACGGCCAGTCTTCAGCTCTGATGAAGTCCGAAACGTTCGTTTCCAACCAAGACTGCGTAGACCGAGCTTTATGACCTGGCGCCGAGTCTTGCTGGAAGGACCATTCTTGATTATTGAACATGGTGTTGTTAAGGGGCTTCACTACCTTCTCAAAAATGGTATCTTGATACACTTGTGCCGATGTTTTGATACCTTTTTCACAAAAGTATGGCTCAGTCACTCCTTCATAGCTAATACCCTCCGTGTAATACCCCACCAAACCATCGCCGAAGTCGGATAGTGCCCACGTTGCACTCTGTAGACTAATTGGGAAGCTTCCTTAGAGCTTTGAGCATAAATACGGTCATTTTGTTTGTTAAAATGTTGCTCAATTGTAAAAAAAATCTCATTCGTAAACAAAATTTTTCTATGACCTCCCCTTGCGTACTGTTTCAGTAGTTGTTTTGATTTTACCACCCTATTCTCTTTTAAATTATCAGTTAAGAAATGACCAGTACGTCTCTTATAGGCTGCAAGTCCTAAGTCATCTTTTAAAATACGTGACATGGTTCTAGGTGCTATCTTCATCTCCCGAGATAAAATATTTTGCTTTCGGACAGGATTTCTTCGAATTCTTTCCCTTACTGCTTTGACGACCTTTTTCGTACGAACACTACGTGGACGGCCAGATATTTTTCTGTCACAAACAGAGGAGGTCTCATTGCACCTATTAATAATCCGGTACACAAACATTTTACTAA